CTATATTGATATTGATTGGTTGATTGAATTGAAGAAGTTCACTGATATAGATATTTTTTGAGATATTCTTTTTCGTCAGCCTGATTCAAAGTCATTCTACTACTTAATGTAAAGAGGAGAGATGATTTCATAAAGTTTAGAAAATGGTTTTTCTTTACTCAGTCATATCCGTGTAATATATTGTTTATCTGTATGTCTCTTATATGTTTATTCGTACAGGAATGTGAATATGATATACGGGTTTATTTTTCAAAGTTTGACAGTGTAATTAATAATATCTATCATTTTCATCACTTATCTATTGACAATCTGATTAAAGATTAGGGAAAGTATATTGTTAATTGGTCGAAAGTAATTTGCAAGAAGCCGTTCCTCACTTAGATTTCGCACTTGTTAGTACTCATCAATAAGGCATATATGCAATCTTAAGGGAAGTGATGTTGTCCCCTGTGAGATTCAAACCTTCGTCACATAGTATTACAGTAAAGAATCTTATCATTGAACTATGCTATTCAGGACTAGATAAAGTGAGATTGGTTGCTTTCCAGTAATCAATCAATCAATGTAAAGTATACTACACTATTTGATTTGAAGGTATTCGCGATATTGCGCAACTGTCTATCCAGTACCTCGTCGGTTATTATTTATCTTCACATCTCACCATCTTGAAATCAGCCAATCCATGTAGACTCTTTGGTGCTCATTTAGTGATAGATTTCGAGATCAATTTTCCAAAGGTATTATTGCTATTATTAGTCGTTTGGGTTCCTAATGGAACATAGGGCTTGAGTAGCACGTCTCCAATGCGCACTGTTCCCTGAAATCTTTTGAACCTGGCTCCACAACAGTCCACAAGGTCTCATTTCCTCCTCACACGGTCTCCTCCATGTCACCCTCACCTCGGACGCCCAACTCATCGTTTCCCATGGAGATTCCACTCGAGTGCCTGGCCTGGCGCATGATGTCCCCAGTCGGCCTTTTCAGTGTATGCCCAATCCATCTCCACTTCCTTCCAGTGCATATTTGTTGAGCGACAGGTTCTTGGTTGGTTCGTTCCCAGAGTTCCTTGTTGCTTATTCTTCCTGGCCATCTGAGCTTCAGTAACGAGCCATTGTAGGTAGTTGTTGATGAATGTCTGTGGTTTGTTGGAAATGCCTTTCGTGACGCGCCAAGTTTCTGAACCTTACAGGAGCACTGACTTGACGTTGGTGTTGAAGATCCGGATCCTGTTGTTTATGCTGAGTGCAGAAGATCTCCACACTGGTTTCAGGCTAATGAACGCCTGTTTTGCTTTTCCGATCCTGCCTGGCTTTGACGTCCTCATCTGTGCCTCCTGTAGTTGGAAGATTGCTGCCTAGGTAGGTGTAGGTGAAAGAGGCTACTTTCTTTAAGTTTCTCCCGTTGAAGTTGATTGGAGCTTGTTGTTGTTGTTGGTTGGGTATCTTCATCACCTCTGTTTTCTCTATATTCACTTGACGCTGTCCAAGGCCTTCTCAAAGTCGATGAAGTTGAGATAAAAAGTTGACTGCCATTCTATTCTCTGTTCTATGTATGATGATGCGAAATGTTCAATTTGGTCCGCATATGATTTGTACTTCCTTATGCCTGCCTGTTCCAGTCGTAGTTTTGAATCCAGCGCATCCTTTAGTCTCTCAAGGATGATGCGGCCTAATATTTTGCTTGGGATGGACTTGAGCGTGATTCCGCGTCAGTTCTTGCAAAGACTTAGATCTCTCGTGTTTGGTAGTTTGACAAGGTAACCCTTCTTCCAATCGCCAGGTACCTTTACTTCTTCTAGACCTTCCAAAGGTATAATGAATAGTTTTTACGTATAGGGCTCAATCAAGTGAACTGTGAGGATATAGTACCTCATCGTTAGCAGTTGATCACACTGTATTACAACATATGGTAACTCACTATTGATGAATCCTAAACTGAAATGAAACACCTGTCTAGTGCTTCCAGGCCAATTGAAGGTTCTGTAACTAATAACAATCTATACTGCACATTTTCTCATGATTGTTATTATCTGTCTTTTAGGTTTCTAGTGGAACATAGGAGCTTCAATAGCACATCGCCATTTCACTCTCTTCTCTCCTGTCTTCTGAACCTGCCTCCACGACTGCCCATAACACTTCATTTCTTCCACAGACGATCTCCTCCATGTCACCCTCATCTCGGATGCCCAACTGGTCGTTTCCCATTTAGGTTGCACTCGACGGGCTGTCCTTGCACATGATGTTCCCAAATGGTTTTCTGAATGTATATGCAATCCAATCCATCTGAACTTTGTTTTGGATATTTGTTGGGTGATTGGTTCTTGTTCCGTTGATTTGTTTGTTTGTTGGTTGGTTGGTTGGTTTCCAGACCAGAGTTCTTTGTTGATTATTCTTATTGTTGTGGTGATCTGACCTGATGTTCAGTATGGAGTGAGCGTAGACGGCAGCTGTTGATGTGTGTGTGTGTGTGTATAGTTTGTTGGAAATGCTTTTCGTAGCGTGCCGAATCTGTAAACCATATTGAAGCACTGACTTGACTGACTTCGTGTAGAAGATCCGGATCTTGTTCATGCTTTATGCTGAGTGTAGTGTAGTGGAGTGGAGTGGAGTAGATCTCCCGACTGATTTCAAGTTGATGAAGGTTTGTTTGCTGTCATTCCGATGCTGGGTTTGACGTCGTCGTGTGTGGCTGTGCCGCGTGTAGTTGAGACGATGGTGTCTATGAAGGTAGTGAAATAGACAACTTCCTTTAGATTTCTCCCATTGATGGTGATTAGTGCTTGTCATCGTTATTGTTGGTGTTGTTTGGGTATCTTCGTCACCTCTGTCTTCTCTGCATTTACTTGAAGTCCTGTCTTCGCTTCTTCTTCTGTCAAGTTGTTGGTTTTTGCCTGTAGATCTTCGAGTTTGTTCGACGTTAGACATAAATGATCATCGGCGAAATCCATATCCTCTCCTAGGGTCTTTTCATCGGTCAAACAGTGAGCGTATCTCCATCTTCTCACTGCTCGTCACAGTTCCCTGCATGATGGAGTTCAGTTCAGTCGACCACTATCAGGGAGGTCATCGATGATAGTAGGCAATCCTTGTGTTACCTATCAACCTGTCATCACTTCAAAAGCATCGTTGAGCTTTTCATTGTGAATTACTTGGCATCTAGCATCACAATACATATATCTGTTGAACGAAGGTTATAAAGGTTTGTAGCACTTTAACCGTAGTATTGAAGCAGCTGCTCATACTCCCGGTCAAATATACAATGTTTGAGAATTCGCCTTCCTTCTCCATTGGTTCACTTGATATTCAGAAAGGATATGCTGAAGTCTCCTATACCAGGGAACATGTCAATGGAGAAATAGAATGCTTAATCTCTGTTTATCTATGCAGGCTTTTTATATGAAATTGTAGACTTATTGGTTCGTTTTGACGATTGACTGTTGTTTCGAATTTCACTCTCAACCTGTTGGTTCATAGATTTTCTTTTCAAGTAAGTCAGTCAGTCAGTTTATGGATGACATTACAACCTTTTTTTCAAAGCAAAGTGTTGATAGGATAGTCGTAGAGCTGTGAAACCCTTGTACAAAACTTGTTTCTTTTTGGATTACTCTTGCTAATAGTTTTTCTATTTTTTTACATACTTTTATCAAGAGGTTATATAGCAGCTCAACTTTTGAGGAAGTTAACACTACTCACTAGCTAGCTGTTTATGATAATCAGAGGTATTGCCGTCAGACTGGTCTACTTCACTGATCATCCAAGTCTATAAGAAACAAGGAAGCAAAATTTTCTTGTGATAACCATAGATGAATTAGTTTAACTAATATTGTGTCCAGTATACTGGATTTCTTAGTTATCCTACGCCCGACTGAAGCTTGAGAACAGCAAACTCAAGAAAACCAGATAAGTTTCAGACCTGGTCGAGGGTATATTGATCACCCAGCGACAGGTTGTGGAATACAGGCATACACACCGACGGCCAACATTAGCCATGTTTCTATCGATCACGAGTTATAATGTCAGTGTCTGAATGTGTAGGGTGTACTTAGCAGAGCTTTCTACATGTATTCACACAGCCGTATCAGGGTTTCTGGAGAGTTGTCATTAGAATTGGCGGCAAACAGCTAACAAGCTAGGGTCGTCCAATGTCACCGTCCTTATTTTACTTCGTCAAAGACGTACTAATCGACATCACCTTAGGTGCATCTGACTTCATAGGGATTGATTTACTCTTCCTGGAAGTCATCTAGTCGACTTTGAGCACCCAGACTCTGAGAAAATGCACTGTCTTCTGAATACGTTAAGCATGAACCTTTGTATGTGTGGCATGTTTTTTTCGCTGCAACCACTACCAGTTTAATGATGTGCTATGAAGTGGTGGAATATGTTTGACCAGTTCACTTACTTGAGGAGATGCATTAACCCAAACAGGCTAGTTTCTGACAAAATCTCAGCTAGGATACGGAAGGTCTATTTCGCATATACCATTCTGTTCTATTGTACATCCATGGAACATTGGTGTTGAAAGCAGAAGATATAAAATGGTTGCAGAGTTTTGATTACATGTGTGTTTAGTGAAATCACTGCGTTAGCAATAATGAGGTTGAGCAGAAAAGGTACTAGGCAAGACAGGCCGGCATGTTGATTGATGAAGTTATGAACGTTAGTCAACTGAGATGGCTTTGATATGCACTGCACATGCTGAAAAGTTGGGTTAGGGTTAGGGAGAGGGTTTCAGAGTGGCCAGACCTGGCAACAGTCGATGAAGTCCCTGATTGTTGATCTAAGCCGTGTTTGGAGATGTGGAATACGTATCTAGAGTCTCCAAGATGAAGGGAATCAGTGGTTGAAGACTCTTACCCTCTCTGTTACACTAGCTACATTGGCTAGTTTACATCTTGAACCTATCTTCAAGTTATCATCAGATTGTTTCATAGCCCTTATAAGATTAACTGTTGTTTATTCATAAATTTAAATATTTTTGTGTTGTGTTTTACCTTCCAGTGTCTTACAGCTGATCTTGGCGGTCATTCAACGTGTTCTCAATATACTAAAGAAATCTGTCGTAAAATTGAACAAAAGGCTTGAAGTGAAAATATGCGTGTGTATACACAGGTTTACACTCACTAGTGTGTAGTGCTTTCTTTTCTACAGTCTTTGTCTCTATCGGTAATGAAATTTTAGTTTTCTCAATTGTATCATAATGACGTATTATTATTACTGCCATTATTATGATTATTATTATTATTATTACTTGCTACCTTAGGAGAATTGTCTACTCACCCCTAACTCTACCCCCCCCCTCATTCTTACTTATTGGTTTCTTTTCTTGCGGCAAACTAAATTTAATTTTTTTTTTAACTTAGTGTTGTTATTTTCTACATTTGTTTCGTCCCTTTGCTTATCGTCTTTAGAACAGTTGAAATGTGTTTTATGTATATGTTTGTGTGTGTGTATGTGTGCTTGTGCACGTGTGAGTAGTATCTGTTTATAGAATGTACTACAGTATGGAGTTTGATATCATAAAATCAGTGTGAATTTGATCACTAAACGTTGTGTCTCGTTATCAATCATCACCATAAGTTAAATGATTCTCTCTCATCAGCATCATCTAGTATAAATACTAGTCCGCCAAACTACGGCTATCTCAAATAGTCAGTTGGATATCTCACCGTAGCCACAAATGATGTAAGTTGGCAATTGGTGAACTACCCTTTTGTATTCGAGGGTCTGTTTTTGTCATACAACTATGCCTATAAATGACCAACACATAAACAGAACGATAAACCTGTCTATGTGAACAAAGAAAAAAAACATTTTCACCTTATTAAAACCCTGATGATTGGTTTTGCTACTTTTGTCACGATGAGAGCAGTTGAACACTGTTGCTTTCAATGAAAGCATGGACGACTTGCCTCTTTGGCTTCGGCACAGATGGATTTGAACCATAGCTTCTGTTAGTATCTTCACGTTGGCAACCGATTCTACTATGATGACATCTTTAGATAAGTTGTGACTAGTATAATGTACAACGTGGCTGTGCCGGTGTCAAGCACTTGTCGAACATGATACAGCAATGTCTGGATCCAACCTTCCTTGAGGATGACTTCTCTGATAGAACTGTCTCCCATTATCTTTTGTAAGTGCCTTCCAACATCTCCCCTTGTTAGATCACATTAGTTGCCTGACATTCACAAACGGGTTATTATCTCACGATTGAGTGTGGATTAAGGTTGTTTGTCTGGGGTATTAAACATGAGGTCATGAACCTCTGTACTGACTCACAGAGGAAGTATGGAGTTGTTGTATCACAGTTTCTCTGACTTTATGTTGTGATGGTCAAGGAAATGCCCTAGTTAAGTGAACCAAAGTTCCAGGTCTTGCCTATCAAAATCTAATAGTCGATTCTTACTAGCCACAAATGTTGGACACTAGGTTCACAAGTAACGCTTAGGACAGTTAGTTTAGACAGGTACAACGTATCAAAGAAGAAGTCAATGTCTGCAGTGTAACTTTTTTATTCCAACCACTCTAATGAACAAATTAAGTGGGTAAATATTGAACGAGTCCACTAAAAAAAATTATTCATCATTCAATAGAAGTCAATGATGATAGAAATTCATAACCAAGTTTACTGGACACTACTTGTTCCATTTTATAATGAAAGCATCATGTATTGAAATTCAGTCTCAGTGATTCGATCGGTTGCCATGTGATTAAGTAACAATAAGACATAGTCTCATAATGACTTCACATACAATACAAAAACACTTGATTCTCTTAGATCAGTTCGTAGTAGTAATGTGCTATATCTATGCCAAGACATAGGATGTTGACTGACTGACAGGGTTGCCAAGATGATTAGGAACCAGTAGTTGAGAACTCATGGTAGGTTGACTGGAAATTGGTCACAATGGCTCAGATGTAACCTTGCCCCCTGTTTGATATCTAAATCTTGAATGTTCACAAGAAACAGCTGTCTTCTGTCATACAACTTGGTCTACTTTGATTGAATACTAATGAGAAGTGTGGCAACTTGAAGTAATGCTCGTGGATGAGAGATTCTACCTAAGAGAACTGTGTTGTTATGATACGTGTGATTTTTTGTTGATATACATCAGGCAAATAACTCAATCTCTGTTGGCAGATTGGCTGCTGTGTAAATGCTTCGATATTGACTAGTGGAACGTTTCGTCCTATCTGTGACTCTTCAACTAGTTGTGCCTACACCTTAATGAGTACTATTGTTCCCACTGACACTCGAACTCACTATCTGATAAACAATTAGGCAAAGTTAATACATATTAAAATTAAATTTTGAGGGAGTTGTGGAGATTTGGAAATATTTCAAGTTGTTATTCATCGAAGACTGACATCAGTTGAAGGAACAAAGGAAACCTGGGAGCACTGGACAGCCGTTTCGTCCTAGTATGGGACTCCTCAGCAGTGCGCACCCACGACCCCACACCAGCAGGGATCGGACCCGCGACCTTCAGGTTCCGTGGTCAGCGCGTTACCATTGAGCCACTGGGTCACAATCCAATGCTCCATATTTCCAACTTCTCTTAGCTCACGATATAGCGCAAACCGCCACCCAATGTCATCGCTGAGTATCTGTCCTCACGGCCATCAGGCTTTGACTTCACCGGTCACGACTTGTCATTGGAACTTCGGGAATACTTCTCGAAACTAGTCACCAATGAGCACCAGTTCAATTAAATTTTGAGGGAGTTGTGGAGATTTGGAAATATTTCAAGTTGTTATTCATCGAAGACTGACATCAGTCTCCAACTGATGTCAGTCTTCGATGAATAACAACTTGACATATTAAAATATTCAACTTTCAATACATCTTGCTGCTTTTTATATATGATTTTAAAGTGTTGTGATATGACCATGAATTGTATGGTTGACTCAACATCATAAATATAAAAATGTACTATGAACTATAAATAGTATTAATTATTGCATTAAAATAGCAAGTTTTTTTATTTTAGAAAAACAAAAGTGGTCTTATCATTGAATTTCTATGCTGGTACAAGTGATTAAGGTTAAATTGTATATTAACAGTTTGGACAAACTTGAATCACGCCACATGAGAACATAGAATATGTTGCAGGCATCAAATTTCATGTTTATCCTCAATTAGTTATTTGCTTAGTTGGCTGGTTAGTCAGACAGTTAGTTAATTAGTTAGCTAGTTGGTTAGTTAGTTACTCAGTTACTTAGTCAGTTTGTTATTTGGTTAGTTAGTTAGCTAGATAGCTAGTTAGTTGTTTATTTAGATATTTAGTTACTTTCTTACTTAGTTATTTGGTTGGTTGTTTTGTTAGGTAGTTAGTTAGTTAGTAGGTTACTTGGTTGGCTGGTTTGTTATTTGTTAGTTGCCTAGCTAGTTATTTAGTCAGTTAGTTGGTTAGTTATTTGGTTAGTTGGTTAGTTAGTCAGTTAGTTAGGTAGTAAGTTCGTTCGTTAGTTAGTTAGTTAGTTAGTTAGTTAGTTAGTTAGTTAGTTATTGACTGGCTGTGTGAAATGTGTTTTCTTTTCATTGAACGTTCTTGATTTGAAGAAGTTTTATCTCTTTTATATTTGTGACGGCTAGCGATTCAGAGTGTAATGGTTAATTGTTGATCATTTCACTTACCTAGGAAGTGGGATCAACCCTATTGGGTCAGTTGCCTATAAATACAAAAGGCTTAGCCGGCTTTATCCAATTTACGCCACCTATGTCGTCGCCGTGATATCCGATTGTCTATTATGGGTGGCGTTTACTGCACAGCAGTCCCGTCTGTTCTACTGTATGGCTGTGAAACATAGCCATTAAAGGGGGAAGACATGAGGTCACAGATGTTTGACCACCGTCGCCTTCGTAGTGTAGGCCGCATTCTGTAGTGTCACCACGTGAGTAACGCAGAACTCAAGCGTAGAGTTTTAGGAAGGGAGAAGAGGTAAGTCATTTGATGCTGTATTGAACCTTCATCGGCTGAGATGATTGGCTTGGATATGTGTTACGTATGCCTAGTCGCCATCTTCCTCATCACATAATGTTGGCCGAAGTAGGTTCAGGCTGAAAAAAAGGCTTGAGGCGGCCAGGCTTCAACATGGCATCAATGCATGAAGTCATTGACTGTTGATTTGAGCCACGTGGGGCGATGGATACTGGTTGGTGGGAGAAGAGAAACCAGTGGCTGGAGACTGGTTCTATGTGATATGGCTCAGAACGCATGTAAATGGCACAGGTGTATATACACTTTATCCTCATCTTAACGACGCTATACCGAGTCTCACCATTTTCCCATTTTTCGTTTTTCTCTTTTTTTTAACACTTAATATTTCTTGTGAGTGAATTTCCTTTTCATCAATCTTCCAATTTACTGCCTTTTTACTTGATGTACTGAGCACTGAGTTGTGGCAGTTCGGACCATTACGCAGTATTGATTTCAGTGGATGGGTATGTTTGACACAGTAAACAGTGTAAAACTTGACGACTAGGGAAGTTACCTTTTTTTTTTAATTGATATTGAGTTATAATTGAAGGTGAAATGAAAGTTTGAACGATGGTGGGATTGAAATCAGCAATCATAAGATTTCCCCGCTCGATGTTCTACATTACTTCAGTTATCAATAGGTTTTTGACTCGACTGTCATGTGAATTAATGGGATGTTTTTATCGCTTGATTGTACTTAAACTGGTTGGTTGTCTAGTCGAAATTTCTAATTCCAATCTAAATCTACTTGAGTTCAAGAGAAGGGAAGCATCATATTGATTAACAATATAACTATCCAAGTGAAATAGTCGTGGTTTATTAGATTAGTATTCATACTGGATGATAAACACTGGGTCGATAAACCAATGAGATAATCAAACTATTAACTGTTTTATCAACTATTAAAACCAATGATACATCTTCTCATTTCTTCAATATACTCAATTTGATGGATACAAAACAAGTAATACTTAAAAAATAAATTATAATGGCTAAAGGAATAACAAATATTAGACTTAATTAGCATGTATTGATTGGTCATAGGAGTGCAACCAATTTCTTGTTGCCTATTCTTGAGTGCAGATCGAATCCTATCGATCTGTGACTACAACACTGAATGATGAGAGTTCGAATCTCAGGTAAGACATCAATTCCGTCGAGTTTGCAGATACACTATGCTGA